GGTGGTAATATTTCGGTCACCTTGAAGCCAGAATATTACCACCATCACCGAGATCGGGATCTTCTTTCCTCGGTGGAGGAGCACCGCCGATATTGGTGTTGGTGTCAACCTCTAGGCCTGCGATGAAGAAGAACACCAGGCCCCAGGAACCCAGAGGAGGGACCCTCCCCCTCCGAAGCCTGACCCGCTTTTCCTCGCAAGAGCCCGAGGATCGAGCCTCTCCGCGGGAGTAGGTCTGCAGCCCCCCTACCGGGATCGTCCCTGGGCCCTCGGAAACGAGGCTGGACTCCCTCCTCCGCCGACGACGCCGGCGATCCGAGGCCCGCCCAGCCCAGCCCAACCCAGACCCTCCCGACCCGACACGGCAAGGACTTGGGCGAAGGGATGGAGGGGGACAGAGACGACGGAGGAGGGGCGGCCCCTTGGCGGCGGCTGGGCCGCGGGAGATCGGAGGAGGAGGAGGAGGAGGAGGAGGAGGAGGAGGAGGAGGAGGGGGAGGGGGGGGAGGAGGGCCCCAATCCCCAGGCGGAGGCACAGGCGCACCCAGGAGGCCAGGAGCCGCGGCGAAGCGACGGCGCGGCGAGCACCGAAGCACCCCCCTGAGGCACCAGCAGAGGCGGGCCAATGCCCTGGCCAGCAGGAAAGGAGGAGGAGGAGGAGGAAGATAGGACGAGGTCGGAAGGGAGCGAAGAGAAGGGAGGGAGGAGGAGGGAAGAAGAAGGTGGAGGATGGGAAAGGAGAGAGGAAAGGCGGCAGGTTCAAGCCAGGTGCGCTCGCACCATATCTGACATTCCACCCCTCCCACCCATCCCGTCCCATTGCGCTGGATCATTGCGCATACTTCGACTGGGGTGTCTTAGAGGACCTTGATCCCATAAATGACGCCATGGTGTGATGCACGCTCAGACAGGAAGGGGCTTTGCACGGTGGAGGAAGTAGCGGATGAGCATAATGATGACAAGGAAAAAGAGGAGGGGATAAAGAAGGGCCACGACGACCGCGACGACTACGACGGCCACGACGACCACGACTGCCGACGACATGACCACCGACCCCCGTCTCCATCCTCCCCTGCCTGATCACCCGTGCCTTTTCCCTATCTCCCTCTTCTGCTCCACGCCTGTACTTGATTCACTCCCCACCCTCTCCTTCTCCTGCCGTCCCCCTGGAAACCGGACCTCCCCCTCTCCTCCCCCCCCCGAAACCGGACCTCCTCTCCCCCCCTCTCCTCCCACCTTTTGGAAATCGACCCCCCCCCTCCTCCCCGAAACCGGATATCTCCCCCTCGCCCCCCCCCCTCCCCCCCACCCCCCAGGCAGAGCGACCCCCTCCCGCCCGTGCACTGAATTACGTCCCCCCCCTTCCCCATCCCGGGCCCGATTTTCGTCAACCATCAAGCAGTGCTCGCTGAGGAGCAGTCGAACGAGCAATTAAAATGAGGCCCGCGGGGCTTCGCCCGGCAGGTGCCCGCCGTGTGCATGGGCGCCCCGTGCGCTGGCTGGGCCCGCCGCTGCTCCGCCCGGTGGGCGCCCGTGACCACCTCGTGGGGAGAGGACGGAAAAGCCAGGGAAGAAGACCACGAAGACGAGGAGAGAAGCCCCGACACGACGCGGAAGAGTGTTCCACTCGTTGGGGAGCAAAAAGTGGCGTAAACATAAAAACTCGGAGGTCCGCGCGGATTTCTCGGATCGGCGCTGGACCCCCCCCCTCCCTGGCGCGCGGAGCGCGCCAGGGGCGGCGCCGGAGGCGCCGCCAGGGGGCCCCAGCGCCGATCCGAGAAATCCGCGCAGACCTCCGAGTTTTTATGTCACTTTTTGTTCCCCTAGACACGACGCGGAAGAGTGTGCCACTCGGTACGGCATCCTGTGAACAGGCGTGACCCAAGATGCTGGGCTGGCACGGTGGCGGGACTTGCCGCAGGCAGCTGGATAGCTGCACGTTTCGGATCCACGTTGGCAAACATAAATTATTTCGTCTTTAGCTCAACGGAATCACTAATTTCTTCCACGATCCGGGCAAATCAATAAGTGTTAAGACGTAGAACAAATGCGCCGGCCCAACGGGCCAAGGGCGTGCTAAAATCTCCTGCAACTGGTTAACAATACTTCGAATTCGCGCGCGCGGGGCCACCCCTGGGGGTCCCTGGACGAAAAGCACCCCCGCAAGTCCCGGCAAGATCCCGGGCAGGTCCCGGGCAGGTCCCGGTCAGGTCCCGGCCAGGTCCCAGCAGGCTCCCAAGAGCGCTCCAGGAGCGCTTCTCCAAGAGAGCTCAGCATGGTCCGAGACGGTCCAAGAGCGATCCAAGACGCGAAAGATTGCCTCCAGACAGCCCAAAGCGCCTTGAAGACGACCCAAGAGGCCTCCCAGAGACCTCCCAAGAGGGCCCACAGCGGGAGAAATGAATGATCTTCCTTCAGTTTCTGACGGTTTTTGGCGTTCTCGCCTTTTCGGCTTACTGGCGCTCCAAGACCCCAAGACGGCCCACGAAGCCTCCAAGAGGGCCCCAAGACGGCCCAAGGTGGCCCCAAGACAACCCAAGAGGCGCCCAAGACGGCCCAAGAGAGCCCCAAAACGGCCCCAAGAGGGGCCCAAGAAGGGGACCAGGAACCGAAAAGTCCAACCTTCAGCCCCAAGACGCCCCCAGGAGGCCCCAAGAGGCAGACAAGATGCCCCAAGGGGCCCCCAAGAGGCATCCCAAGAAGCCACAAGAGGCCCCCAAGAGGCCCCAAGAGGCCCCAACACGTCCCCCAAGAGGCCTCAAAACTGCCTCCCAAGGCCCCTGAGAGGCCAACCACGAGAGCCCAACCAACATCCGGGAGGCCTCTGACCCGCCACCCACCGCCTCCGAAAAATGGCAGCCGCCCAACCGCACCGCATTGACAACAACACCCCGACATACGACAGCGGCGAGGCAAGATGGGCCGGCGGAATGAGCGAAGCGATCAAACAAAGCCAGGAAAGGGAGTTTTGCACGATCCAGCAGATGCAGATGTCAAGGCGCACCAGGTCTGGCCTCGAAGGGTGGCTGGCCCCACCGTGTACAGGTGGCGCACTGGCTGGACAGCCGCTCGGGGCCGCCCCCCGAAAGCGGGAAAGGCCGAAGGACGACGAGGGAAGACGAGAGGAGAAGGCGGGAAGGAAAAGGGGACGAAGAGGGAGGAGGAGGAGGAGGAGGAGGAGGAGGAGGAGGAGGAGGAGGAGGAGGAGGAGGACGCCGAGGGCGAGGGGGACGGGGACGAAGAGGACGAGGGAGGGAAAGGGGCACGACGAGGGCGCAGGACGCGGGGAGGAGGGAAGGAGAGGGGACGCGAGGGGAGGGGGGGGGCGAGGCCCCGCGCGGGCCCCCCGCGACTCCTCCTCGTCGGCGACGGTCACCTCGCGCGGGCGGCCGCGCGCGCGGGGTGCCGCGGCGCGCCAGGAGGAGCGCGGCGCGGCAACGCCGGGAGGCGGCGCGGGTGGCCGCGGGGGGGCGCCCCGCCCAGAAGGGCGAACGCTCAGGTGGCATCTTGGGCAGAGGCAAGGGTGGACGCAAGAGGTCCTCCACGTCGTCCTCCTCCTCCTCCTCCTCCTCCTCCCCTCCTCCTCCTCCTCCTCCTCCTCCCCTCCTTCCCTCTTTGCTGCCCCTCTCCGTCCTACGCATTATCCTCCTCCTCCTCCTCCTCCTCCTCCTCCTCCTTCTCCTCCTCCTGCTTGTACCTTCTCCTTCCTCCCATCCTTTGCGGCCCTGCGGGTCTCTTCAAAATCCGTCTGCGCATGCCTGACTCGCTCGGCCGCGTTGAGACCCGGGCCCAGTCGGTCGAGCTGTCCACTGCGTAAATCACGATGCGTTCGGCCACGGGGATGCATTGTTCGGCACGGGGGGCCAGACCTCCAGAGCCTGCGGAGTCCAGCAAAAGGTTGAACCCAGCGCCCAGGCTGGCGCTCCCAGGCCCCGCGGCGCCTCGCAGCGCGGCCTGCTGAGGAAGGGGCAAGCGCTCCACCAGAGCTGCGCGCTGTGCTTTCTGCACCTTTGCCGTCGCGAGGCCTTGCCGCAAGAGCGTGCTGAGCGCCGTTGGCAAGTCTCCTCCAGCAGCCAGCTCAAGCCCTTGGCCTGGAAGCCCCCCACAGACCGACAGACAGACAGACAGACAGACAAGACAAGACAAGACAAGACAAGACAAGACAAGACAAGACAAGACAAGACAAGACAAGACAAGACAAGACAAGACAAGACAAGACAAGACAAGACAAGACAAGACAAGACAAGACAAGACAAGACAAGACAAGACAAGACAAGAAAGGGCAGGACTGGACAGAACAGGACAGGACAGGACAAGACAAGACAAGACCAGCCCAGACCAGCCCAGACCAGCCCAGACCAGCCAAGACCAGACCAGACAGGACCAAACAAGACCAGACAAGACCAGACAAGGAAAGCCAAGACACGGCAAGACTAGACGTGACAAGACAAGACAGAGAGGCAGGCAGGCACAGACATGCAGACAGACAGGCAGGCAGACAAACAAAGAACGGCGATATCACACTAGCATACATACATGCAACAAAAAACGCAAAGAGACGGAAGAGAGCGAAGCGGTACAAAAACATAATATATAGGGGTGCAGAAACAGATATAGAGAGGGGGGGCACAACAGTACACAACGAAAAAGAAGGGGTAGTCACACCAAAAACACTCAAACAACAACCCTAACTATGACTATATATATGTATGTATACACGCTCCTGCATATTTATGTGCATATACGTATATAAATGTTCGAGAGGGAGAGAGAGAGAGAGAGAGAGAGAGAGAGAGAGAAAAACAAAAAAAAGTAAGAGCAAGCGCAAGAGCAAAAGCGAGAGTAAGAGCTGTTTCAAGAACAAGGCCAAAATCAAGACCAAGGTCAAGAGCAAGGCCGTGAGCAGGAGCATAGGCCATGACCTGTCATCCTGGCGGGAAGAGGAACCGAGTAGGGAGCAAGCATGAATGCGAAGCGATGGGAGGGGATACAGTCAACCCGTAATACAATATAATAAATTAGGATGCAGGGTAAGGATGCAAGGGCCTTGGAGGGCCATATAAACTTTTTCCGAACGAAGGTGGCCAGCCGCAAGCCGCCAAGGATGGGCCGAAGGGGCACGGATGCAAGGGTAGCCTGGGAAAGTTGCTCGTCTTCACTTTGCGGGATTACTGTGGGTAGGAGAAGCAGGGAAGGGAGGAGGCAGGAGAGGCAGAGGGAGCGAAGGGCTGGACGAGAGTGGAAGGCAAGAGGTACGCTTGCTGGCGCCCAGGGAGGGCCTTGAAGCTGCCCGAGGCACAGACGTAGAAATAGTCCGCGCTGAGGTCGCCCTGCCGGCGGGCCGCTCCTCCTGCTCCACCACCGCTTCCTCATCCTCCACCGCCTCCGCTTCCTCTCCCCCGTCCTCTTCCATCTTACCGGTAGGACCACCCTTCGGATGACAGGGAGGTTGTTGATGGGGGATGGGTACAGCCTTCGGTTTGCAAATGGCACATGATCGCATTCGCATCACGTTTACATATGAATATATATATATATATATATATGTCTATATATATGTGTATGTCATGCATACATATCTATATAGATATATATATATATATGTGCGTAGCGATATGATTGTCTATCGATCGGCATCACAACCTATCGATATCAGACCCTATCTCTATCGCACGTTAATATATGCCCATCGATGAAAGGATCTATCGGCATGACTAAATATCTATCGATCTCTCGATATATCTACCTCAGATCTCAATATCGATTCACATGGATATCACTATCTCTCGGTCTCACTGTGCATCGACCGACCGCCAGGGGACAGCCACGAGACACCCACGCGCCAACAATCGAGACAACCATCGGTACAACCATCGGGACGACCATCAACGAGACAACCATCAGGACAATCATCAGGACAACCATCAGGATAACCACCATCGGGACCGACAGCAGGACAACCAGCAGACAACCATCGGGACAACCATCGGGACAACCGCAGCGGATGCGGGACAACCCCGCGCGCGCGTCCCAGCAGACGCCGGACCCCGACTGATTTTGGCATAGCCTGGGCCCACCTATACGACCACCCTTCGGGTGACAAGGAGGTTGGTGGGTGATGGCTGTGATGATGACGATGCTGGAGATGCGCCCTCGAGTTGGCGACCACGCGTGGTGACGACGCTGCGCCGCGATGTGATCCCACGATCGATCCCACTCGATCGATCTCACCACGGGACACCGGCGGGACACCGACGGGACACCGACGGGACACCAACTGGACACTGACGGGACGCCGATGGGACAACGACGAGACACCAACGGGACACCGACGAGACACCGACGGGACACCGACGGGACAGCGACGGGACAGCGACGGGACAACCACGGAATACCAAAAAGAACACCGACGGGACACCGACGGGATGCCGACGGGACACCACGGCGGGACAACCCGGCCACCGCCCGCCCACAGCGGAGGAGAGGGCAGCGACGGGCCACCACGACGGGACAACCCGGCCACCGCCCGCCCACCGGGGAGGGAGGAGAGGCGGTCAACGGCTCCTGACCCGCCCTAGCCGCAGCGGAGGCATTCCTGTCGCCCCTGCCCAACCAAGCTTCGCCTCGCTCACACGCACGACACGGACCCGAAACCGAACCCGACTTCCCAGTGGGAGGCTCTCTGTTCCGCTTGGATCTCACCACCCAACCTCCGAACGAGTGCAGGAACTCGCGCTGCCTCGCCTCGCTCGCGTTCACGATATGAACCGAATCTGAAGCCGATTTCTCAATAGGGGGCCTCCAGTTCACGTCGGTCTCACCCCCGCAGCCGCCGAGCCCTCCCCCCTTTCTCCCCCCTCTCCGCCTCCTCATCACTCCACATCCACCATCATGATCCAACATGCCTCCTATTCCCTCCTCGTCCTGATCTCTTTCCCCTCCTCGTCCTCCCTGCCCCTACTTCCCCTGACCCTCCTCCTCCTCCAACAACTTCCATCGTCCCTCCTCGCCACACGTCTCACGCGCACCCCGCGGGAAGGTCCATGGTCAACTCTACAGCCGTCTCTTTTTCCTCCTCCTCCTCCTCCTCCTCGCCCTCCTCCTCCTCCTCATCAGCATCATCAGCACCACCACGACCACCACCAACACCACCACCACCACCAGCACCACCAGCACCAACAGCACCACCAGCACCGTCAGCATGACGATCCTCGCCACTGCCCTCCTCGCCCCGTCCCTTCTTTTATCCAACTCTTCTCCCGTCGGGCCCAGGTGCTGTCGCCCGCCCGCTGCGCCACGCGATGCCACTCGGCGTGCCCGCCCTCTGCCCTGCCCGCGCGACTACTTCTCTCAAGCCCCGCTGCAGTGAGCCCCCCCGATTGCTGTCCTGGCCAGGGACTGTGCGACGACTGCCCCTGGCACCCTGGGCCCTCGAGGTGCGTAGCAGGGGCGGCGCGGGGAAAGCGGGCCTCTGTGATGAGCGCCTCGCCCGCTTTGACATCCTCCTTCCAGGCGACGTCTATGAGCGCCTAGCGGAAAGGGAACGAGATGACGAGAGAGAGAGAGAGAGACACAAACACACACACACACACACACAACAACAACAACAACAACAACAACAACAACAACAACAACAACAACAACAACAACAACAACAACAACAACAACAACAACAGCAACAGCAACAGCAACAGCAACAACAACAACAACGACGACAACAACAACCACCACAACCACAACAACAACCACAACAACAACAAAAACCAAAAAAAAAAAACGACGGCAACAACAACAACAACAACAACACAACAACAACAACAATAACGACAACAACGACAACAACAACAACAACAACAGCAACAACAACGACAACGACAACGACAACGATAACGACAACACCAACAACAGTCAACAATAGTCAACAACAACAACAACAATAATAACAACAACAACAACAACAACAACAACAACAACAACAACAAACAAACAACAACAAGAAGAAGAACAGCAACAACAACGATGACTACGACAACGACGACGACGACGACGGCAACAACAACGACCACAACAGCAACAACAACAACAACAACAACAACCACAACCACAACCACAACAACGACAATTATCATTTTACCCTCATGCGCGATGTTTCCACACGAGGCATGCGACCATCCTGATAACCATCCCCAACACGGGTGACTATTGTTCTATAGCGGGGTCCGTTATTCCCATTCCCAGATCTCCCGCCCAATGAGGTGTTGCAAACACCTCCTCCGAGGAATTTCAACATATCCCGCCTCGAAAACGCATGCCCGCGCCTTGCTGCGCCGATGTGAGACCGCCAGTGGAACCCCAGCCAAGGGTATCGAGCGACAGGATTGCCTTGGTGGGGATGGGGGCTGTCGGCGGCGAGGCAAGGACCTGGCCCTGAATAGAAAGGGAGGAAGTCTCGAGCAGGGCCGCTGTTGTTGCTGGGAGAGGCGCCAATGCTGAAGAGAGTAGGGCGCTAGTCCAGCGTAAAACAAAACGAAGACTCGAGCGGGAACGTTGGTTTTGTTGGGACGGCGGTTGTCGGCGGCGAGGAGGAACACCGCCTTGAGTAAAAAATGCGGAAATCTCGAGCGGGAGTCGTGGTTGTGTCAGGACGGGAGCTGTCAGCGGCGAAGAACAGCACCGTCCTGAGGAAAAAGGGAGGAAGCCTCGAGCGGGAGCGTTGTTCTTGCTGGGAGCGGCGCCAATTCAAAAGAGAGCATCCAGCGTAAAACGAAAGGAAATCTCGGGCGGGAGGGTTGGTTTTGTCCTGACGTCGGTTTTCGGCGGCGAGGAGGAGCACAGCCTTGAGCAAAAAAGGGAGGACGTCTCGAGCGGGAGCGTAGTTGTTGCTGGGGGCGGCGCCGATGAGAGAAAGAGTAGCGCGCCTGTCCAAGGTAACACTGGAAGACGTCTCGGGCGGTGGCGCTGGTTTTGTTGGGACGACGGCTTTCGGCGGCGAACAAGAACACCGGCCCTGAGCAAAAAAGGAAGAAGTCTCGAGCGGGAGTGCTGCTGTTCTTGAGGGGGCCCCTTTGGCGCCCACCAAACCGCTCGAGCATGAACCTCATTTTCAATGAAAATGTAGCCGGCGCCGACGCGAGAGCGTCAAAGCGCCTGGGGGGTCCAACAATAATAATTGTTTAATAATGAACAATCAACAACAACAACAACAACAACAACAACAACAACAACAACAACAACAACAACAACAACAACAACAACAACAACAACCACAACCACAATAACAACAACAACTACAACAACAACGACAACAGCAACAACAACAACAACAACAACAACAACAACAACCACAACAACCACAACAACCACAACAACAACAACAACAACCACAACCACAACCACAACCACAACCACAACCACCACAACCACAACCACAACCACAACCACAACCACAACCACAACCACAACCACAACCACAACCACAACCACAACCACAACAACAACCACAATAACAACAACAACTACAACAACAACGACAACAACAACAAGAAGCTAAATAAGAAAAACAACAAAAACGAAAACAATAACAACAACAGTGGAAAAAAAACGGATACTCAAAATAATAAGAGTTTATTTTTTAAACGAGGAAAAATATATATAAAAAAAAAAAAAAAAAAAAAAAAAAAAAAAAAAAAAAAAAAAAAAAAAAAAAAAAAAAAAAAAAGGAGCAGCAACAACTACAATCATTTCAAGACTGTTCGCCCTTATCTGCTCGAGTGTCCAATAACGCGTATTTCCCAAAGCCTCGATGCCCGCCCTCTTCGTCTTCGATCGAACCCCTCTTGGGGGGTATACCTTTCTTCCCTGCAGGCCGGGCCCGGGCAAGCGGCGGGGCGGCCGCGGACCGTCGGCCTGGCCAGCGGCAGCGCTGATCGGCGTGGCGGTCGCGGACCGTCGACCCGACCGCAAGAGGGACGGACAAGAGACCGACCACGACGACGACGACGACAACGACGTCGACGACGTCGACGACAACGGCGACGACGACGACGACGGCGACGACGAGCGAAAGCGAGAGCGAGGGAGAACGACAGCGGGGCCGAGAAGGACACGAAGCAGGCCACGAAGGGCGACAGCGGGGACACGAAGGGAATGCGTATGGGGCCACGAAGAGCTCGAACGAGCGGGGGCCACGAAGGGCAGAGAATGCGGGGCCACAGAAGGCAACTGGGCCACGTAGGACACTGATGGGGCCACAAAAGCCGACAGCGGGGCCACGAAGGGCATGCACATGGGGCCACAACGGGCGCGATTCATGGGTGCATGGGTGTCGGGAGCGCGGCGCTTGAGCAAATTGCAAGAAATTCCAACGCTAGGGCGCTATTCTTCAGTAAGTTGCAAGCAAGTCTCCAGCGAGAGCGCGACTTCAGAGCGCCGGGAGAGCGATTCCTGCGTAAATTGTAAGGAAGTCCCAAGCGAGAGCACGATTCCTGAGTAACATGCGAGGACGTCTCGGGCGAGAGCGGGGGTCCTGGCTAAATTGTGAGGAAGTCTCAGGCGGGAGCCGTTGTTGTTGTAACCCGGGGGCCAAGGACTCAGTTTGAGCATCAAGACTTTCCCTGTCAAACAACAACAACGACAACAACAACAACAACAACAACAACAACAATCATTTTACCCGAACGCTCAGTGTTCTCCCCAGTGCCAGGGTTTTCTTGCGACACCAGCCAATACCCCCACTTCGTGGGGGGGCCGTTCAAGCTCTACCAAATATCCAAACGACTCTTCGAGACCACCCACACCCAGCTTCCCGCCCTATGACGTTGGGACACTTCACTTCGTGGCGTGCGGACGACCCTGGCTACTACACTGGCGTGGGGTACACACCCACAGAGGTTGATCACATCTGTTACATATGATGTGGTACACGGTACACGTGAGATGGTACGCAGTGCCAAGATAGTTGGTCACATTTTTGGGGCATTGATACCCTTTGCCCGGAGCGCCTGATGCAAATAATACGCACTCTCGCAGTCGGCCAAGGGAGGCCGCGACAGCTCAGGGCCATACTGCTCGTGAAGGTCTTTCGCCGTCAAAACCATGATCCAAGAACACAGGCGATACCTTGATCCGAGATGGCTACGGATATGTGCGTCAGCAGTCGGGGGCCTTCCTGGGGCCGCTTGGGGTCCTCTTGGGGAAGGGGGGAAGCCTCCTGGCGCGGTTTGGGGTCCACTTGAGAGCCTTTGGGGGGCTCCTTGGAACCATCTTGGGGCCTCTTGGGGGCTTATTGGACCCTCACGGCGGACTCTTGGGGCCTCTAGAACGCCTCCTGGGGCCATCTTGGGGGTCTCTTGGAGCCACCTTGGAGCCTCTCTGGAACCTCTTGGGGGCCTCTTGGAGTCCTCTTGAAGCCTCTTGGGACCATCTTGGGCGCCTCTTTGGGCCTCATGGACGCCTCTTGGGGCCATCTTGCGCGCCTGTTGGGGCCATCTTGGGTTTTAAAGATTCATCAAGAGACCGCGAATGGATTTCGAGATTTTTCGGATGAGAAAGTAGTGCGTTTTCATATGTTTTCTGAACATCGCATCTTGAAATTATTGAAAACCCATTGTGTTTGGCAGGATTTCGACATGCGCGCGCGGCGGCCGCGCGCATGTGCACTTCGTCTCATTTTTTGCAAGGGATGGTGGCCCTCGCAGGCGCGCAACCGTTGTTGGAGAAGTTCAAAGCACCTGAAGAAGTAGCACGCAAAGACCCTTTTGACAGAAATGTTTAAAAAGTGGTGTGTTTCCTATGAATCCGCAAGAGCGCGCGGAAGGACATTTTGACAATTTTTTCTTAAAAAACCATTGGGTTTTTGATGTTTTTATGTTAAAATCGTTACGAAACCTAAGGTTTTGGAAGGATTTCGTCTTGCGAGCGCGAATGTCCACTTTACCTTATTTTTTGCAAGGGATTCTTGAAATTTGATCAACTAAGAACAAGAATTTTCATTTTCTATTGTTTTTTGCAAGGGAAAACGAGCGTCAACAAAAAACCGGATCCGGGGGTAATCCACTTTTCTGAAGCTTTCGCAGAAAAATGATGAAAATGTAGCTGCGGCCTAGGTTTTGGGCGGGGGGCGTGCACCAGGGGGTCCAACAATAATAATTCTTTAGAAGTAATAGTGTTCAACAACAACAACAACAACAACAATTACTAGCACGTGGGGACACTCCGTTCTCACCAGTGCCAGGGTTTTCATAGGAGGCGGGCAATACCCCCACTTTGTGGGGGGGCCGGTTCAAGCTCTACCAAATTTCCAAACGACTCTTCGCCACCACCCACACCCAGCTTCCCGCCCTATGACGTTCGGACACTTCACTTCGTGGCATGCGGACGACCGTGGCTACTATTCAGGGCCCCGCGGCCGACGACGACGGCGTGCGCGCGCGAAGAAAAAACGAATGTGTCCCGCATGGTATTATTTGACAGGGATGATGGCCCTGGCAGGTGCGCAACCGT